CTTGCAAAACGGCTTTCTTTGTTTTCTTGTTTTTTTGTTTAGGGAATTGTCGTTTTTTTTTTGTTTTTTGTTTTTTTTTGTTTTTTTGCCGGCTACGTAGCGGTAGCTCGAGGCTCGGGAAGGCTCGGGTTACCGATAGGCTGAGCCACGGGCCTTAACAACCGCTAGGTACTGGTGGTTTAAGAATGGTTCAACTGCAGCATCCCTGTCCCCCTCCCCCTCTCTTTTGGTCAGCCGAATGCAAATGCTCTCCCAACTTTGAAGTAGAAAGCAAAGGAGAGTTACATTTGGGAAATGGACTGTCAAAAAAAAGGAAAACCGAAAGCTAACGAACATCTGGCTGTCGTCCCGTTATCCGTACATCTGGGTCTATCTGAGTAGTGGTCCAGTTTTTGGTCCGGATTTGTCCTCGCCTACCATGGAAACAAAGGAATATGCTATTAGTAAAGGAGAAGAAATGAAATGACACTAAATGAATCAAAACCTAGGCTACCAGCCAGGCCGCCCGGGTCACCTTGTTTGCCGGGGCGGCCCTGCTGTGCAAGTCCCAGCAACAAAACAAAATCCAAAAAATCTGGAAATAAACTATGTTACGCAGAAAACTAAACTGAACTACTTTTGCCTCAGGGTCACATAGACCAAAAGGCCTGTGGTGGGCCGTGTGCGAGCACAGCGGTAACACTGCCCTAGAAAAGCCTATGGCACTACCCAGCCTGACGCCGTCAGGGGTTGCGACCACGAGATCCCACGTTGCCTATGCGCTGTCAGGGGTGCTGCACTAGCGCATAGGTAACGCTAGCGTAGCGGTCATGCTGCGCTAGTGCAGCACCCCTGACGGCGCATAGGCAATGTGGAATTGCGTGGGCGCAACCATGAGTGTGGGTGCGCTGTGCCAGAGCTTGTTGTGGGGGTGGTGGGAGCGGAGGAGAGGTTAGGGCGCACGGGCGCCAAGGGGGAAGCTGCTGCAAGGAGGCGCTACCCAGCCTCAGCCATGCCCTTGTTCTGGCCAACTCTTGTCGGTAATCCTGGATGACCATGGTGGGATGTAGGAAGATGTGCGGCGGTTGAAGGGCGGGATCTGCGCGACGTACATACCAGAATATGGAACCTGATCAGGGGCATTGTCCTCTGGTTACGGATACAAAACCTTGTTTGGAGCCGTTTTGGAGGAGGAATCAACCTTGTTTGAAGAAGTTGATTGGGCTGCTTGGCCCTTATTATTTGTGGGGGTCGCGGCATTGGGAGTGCTGTGCTGTTTGTGTTGCTGTGTGCTTTGATCGATTCTCTTGCAAACAGTGGTGATGCTCCTTCTGCAAACTATGCCGATGATGATTTGCTTGTAGGTTTCTTTTCTCTTTGAGTTAAAAATCATATATATGAAACTCCGACGAAACAGTTTGTCACAGCCCCTCGTTTGTTGTCCTCTTCTCTCTCTCTGCCTACGGTTTACCGGGCAGTTCTGTTTGTGACGATATATATTCCAGAAAAATCATTAAAAAACTTTTAAAGAGGGATAATTTCCAAAATACCCCCATAAGTACCCCTGACGTTTGGACCCCAATCTTTCCAATATACCCCTACCGGGTACCATCCAACTTTGCAAAATGCCCAAGTACTTGCCAACTTTTCCTAGGCGCTACTGCAAAAGGCCAAGGCCCAAACGGGGAGGTCCAGATTGCAAAGTTGCACACCCTCCTGACAGGGGCACGGCACAAAGATTTCGGCAAAAAAGGGCATTCCACTCTACCCACATCTTTCAGGGGCATTTTGGCATATATATCAACTTCTGGGGGTGTTTTGCAAATTATCCCTTAAAAAAAATGTGTTTGACCGAACATGTTCTGGAGGTGTTCGCCTTAACACCCGAACGTGTCCGGGCATTCACAAAAGCCCCGAACACGTTCGTTGTGCTGCACAGGTCTGGCTATTGAGTTTTCTGATGTGCGTACTACCGAAGAGCGGTTACCGGATTACCTTGTCCTAGGTTATGCGGCATTGGCAGCTTCCGCCATGCTTCCAGTAGCTTTAGCCCCATTTTGCTGCTGTTTTTTCCTTTTTGTTTTTTTGTGGGGTTGAAAACCACACAATTGTATTAACAGAAATGGAACCGAGGCCGAGCACCCCATAATGCTACCCGCACTGGGGCCAGTACCCAGCTTCGACTGATGCTTTAGCTGCTAGTCTTGGAGTACCGTTGGCTGGCTTGTGCGGCTGTCCAGGTAAGGAGGGGCAGACCCATCTCCAGCATAATTAGTGGATCAGCACTGTGTGGGGCCTCAGGTTCCCATCTCTTGATCTGCTCACAGGTGAAGGGAACCTATGATACATCCATGTTGACCTCTTTTTAGTATAGGACCCACAACCCACGAATAGATCAGAGCATTGTCCTGTAAAAAAAACAATAAAACTCAACAAAAGTGAGAAAGAACAGGAGGAGAAGCCAGTTGGCAGTTAGCAACCTTTTTTTTTTTTGTTTTTTGTTGGTAAAAGTACGCTGTATTCTTCTCTCAAATCTTTCATCATGTATAAGCCTTAGGAGTAGGGATAGGTACTAGGTAGTGAAGGTGAATTGAAAGAATTTGACAGATGATAAAAGATTTGAGAGAAGAATATACTAATATGGCAACCAATTTTTTTAGTTGAATAATAATAATAATAATTTATAAGTTAATAACGGAAAGAGTTTTTTTGAAATTGCACTGCGTCATAGTAATACTGGGTTGGTGTAATGATGGATGGTTATCGATTGCTGTACACTTCTTATCAACTTGCGTGGTGTGAATGAAACGGTATTCACCAGTTTGCAGTAACTGATGCAGATCCCAGGGCTCGATCCCTAGATCCCCACCTTACCTGTGTACAGTATCTGTGTCAACCCGTAGAATTGAACCTGCGACCTGTAGGACCGCCAGTGGTAGGTAGGATTTCGTAGGTCACAGGGTAGAAGGGATTCGAACTGTAGACCTGTCGGGTAGGAGTCTACACAGTCCAGAGGTCGTAGCTGTAGACTGTCTGAAGGGTCAAGGTCGTAGCTGCTACTTACCTGAAAGGGCAAAGTCGTAGCTGCTACAGTACCGA